ACACAAGGAAGTGCATAGTCACATGGCTGAGTGAATTTGTGTTATCAGTGCATTGAGGAAGTACATCCTATGGGCACCTTCAATAAGTAAGTTTATAAACGTCTTGATCGATATGGTTATTAGGACTAGGATAGATCTTATGGAAATTCTATACAGAAATATATATTTATTTTTTGTTGTTGACCACAGATACCCTTTATAGCGACTCTGTTGCTAGATTATAAAAAAAATGTACTTGTCCTGCCACCCACTCCATTGATCTTCACTCTTTTCAATAGCGACAGTGGCTGGAAAAATGTCAGCATCTGACACACTTATGGCTTAGTTGGATACCTGGTCTCCAGCTGTGAAGTGTGGTTCAATTTGCTGTTTCTTACATCCCTACGAGACCCAGATTTCTTCAGCCACTAAAGCCAGTGAAGATCGTTGACGCGGGCAGCAAGCAAGATTTGTTGAAAAGAAATCATTTCTAAATTCTACAGCCAATAACTCTTGGTTCATTGAATATTCTGTGGAATCACTATCAGGGTTATTCACGAAAGAGTGAAGATTTTGGAGAAGACAGGAGAAGTGAACAATCTAGGACAACATAGCTGAGCTGGAAAGTGAGCTGAATTGGAGAATGTTTCAAATCAGCTATGTTGTCCTAGATTGTTCACTTCTCCTGCCTTCTCCAAACTCTTCTCCCTTTTGTGACAAAACCCTGTATGTGTATTGGTGCTGCTCTTTACTACTGGCTCAGAACTCACACTTCAGAGATTTAAAACTCCAGAGATTGAATTTTAACACCTCTTCAAAGTATTCTGGTATGGGAATCTGTTAAATGAAACTAGATGGCATCCATCTCAGTAGAATTGCATGTATTCATTTTGTTTTGGCCATGTAAGAAGTTTGACTGTGAGAAGAGATTAGCAAATTTATCTAACAAAGTAAGATCTGACCAAGATTAGGCTAATACATAGATATCTATGACTATCAGCCAATTTGTCTGTCCAGCAGGCTTTTCCTTTTCTTTTTTCTTGTCATAGTGTTTCCTAATGCATCAATTACATGATTAGCTATCTCACAGCATCCTACACTTTAATTAGTGTAATGTATCTCTATGAGCCCCAGACTAAAGACATTTAAACTCAGTTTTTGTTTTCTTTTTAGTAAAGAAATACATTTTTTGTTAACTAAAGAAGCAATTTAACGGGGGAGACCCTTATGAACTATGTTTAACTATTTACAAAACAAAACAGAAAATATTAGGTATCTTTAATTTACAATAAAGATTTTATTTGTATTAAACTTTCATTTTCTACTTTGGTGAATGGGCAAGGTTTTTAAAGTATATAGTCACCAGTTTACTAGGTAAGGTGTAGCAATATACTTGCCCCCACCAAGGTTGCGTGGTTGCATTTCAATCCTTGTACCACGTATTCGCCCCTTATTTCGGCAGGGACGTGCGGTCAGGTGAGGCAGAGCCTCACCTAGTATTATGGAGGAAAAAGCTGTCAGCATAAAGTCTGAAGCTGACAGCTTTTTCTCCATTCAGATCAGCTTCTATTAGGTTACACAGCAGAGAAAGCCTCCACCCTGTGTAAGCTTTCATGGACGGAGCGCTGCCTGTTAATTACAGGCAGTGCTTCATCCGGCTTTTGACAGGTAGTTAGGTTACACAGCATCGGGCTTCCCCACTGCTTGTGTAACCTAACTATTGAGGCAAGTGCTGTCACAGCCTCTACTCTTTGTTAGAGGCGTGAGCTCTGTGGATGGCCTGGACCAATGGCAAAGCGCCATTGGTCCAAGCTGTCCAATAAAAAATTAAAAAAAAACAAACACTGAGGCCATCAATCTTGATGCCTCAGCAGTGACAAGCAAGTGAGGGACAGGGAGGCAGAATGCCCCGGAACCAGAGGTACCGCACGTCACTGCATTTCAGACATTAAAGAAGAACACTGGGCAGAATAAAACAACCTTACCCCTGCACTGCAAGAGTTAAGTGCTCGTTTTCATCCAGGGCCTAAAATAACAAAGATATACTCAACTGAACCTCAGTCCCGCCTGGCTGCTAGAACAGTCCCCATAGCCTCTCTACCTCTCTGCTCTGGCAATGGAATGTCCCTCAGTGTCCTCACATACAATACACTGCATTAGACGTGATGACTCACAGATCCTTAGACTAAAGGAGTGAAGGGGGAAGGAGGCTGCATGGACCAGTCTAGCAGTCAGCCAGGTGATTCAGGTGAGTGTATCTTTGTTAATGTAGTAACCAGATGATAACGAGCACTTAACCCTTGCAGTGTGGGGTCTCTGAGAGAGTCAACTTGTGCAGAATTTTAATGTGACACTGAACCTACATACCTTTTGATATTTTTCACATATAACATATTGCACCACTTTGCAAACGCTCATTAGTAGGGATGCACCGATACCGATACAAGCATCGGTATCGGCCGCGATACCGAGTATTTGCATGGGTACTCGTACTCGTGAGTCGATAACTGTGCCACACTACAGGTGTGGGCTGGGCACAGGATGGCCTAAAAAAAGTTATATCTGCCCCGGTAATTGGTATCGGCGAGTACTTAAAAAAAAGTATCGGTACTTGTACTCAGACCCAAAAAAGTGGTATCGGTGCATCCCTACTCATTAGTATCAAGAATAAAACAATTTTAATTGTCATTCTTAATATGTTTCAGATGGCCTCCTGTTCTATCATCCATGATCTGTAGTTCTCTCCAAAAGTTATCTGCTGTGTGTTGGCCCAGAAACCAAGGATAGCTGTCAATGGTCACCCCTAATATGTATAGGATGGCCTCCTGTTCTATCAGTCATGATCTGTAGAGCTTTTTAAAGGTTATCTGCTGTGTGTTGGCCCAGGAAACCAAGGATAGCTTTCACCAGTATGGCTTCTTTATCCCCAGAGTTTATTATTTAAAGCTTTTTTTCTGCTGTGGTATAAATACATCCTTCTTCTCCCATCTACTGGAAAAAATGTTTACCTATTGACACTGCCATCCTCATATCCATAGATGACATGGGATGTGAAAAGAAAACTGCATAATAATACTGTATCTGTTTTTGAGAAGTAATGGAAATGAGTAATAATGCCCATGTTTACATTATGACTTTAATAAAATGGGGGAAATAATACTAATACTAGTTAGTACTTGTATTAGTACTTATAAATACTTGATCTCGTGCTAATGGAGCATCTGCGATCCTCCTGACAGATTACTTCACTCTTAGGGGCTGCTCCTGACAAGAATTGAGGATTCCCATTAAACATGCAAACAAAAATAGAACACAGAGAGCCAACTCTAAATGAAATACCATTTATTCAGAAAAGTGTGTAATAAAAGAACCGATCTACTCACAAAGGTAAGATGTATACTGCTTGAAACATATGGATGTCTCCTAAGGTGCCATCAGAACCACTCATAAGGCTAATTCACTCCCTGGTATAAACATACGGCCGCCTCCGATCCCTCCTGTCACAGAGTCGGCAGTTACATGCTTGGGCTGACGTGTTTCCGGGGCACGCCCCCTTCTTCAGAGCCACAGCTAGCAAAGTCCTTCATTCACTGCATTACCTGTGGCTCTGAAGAAGGGGGCGTGCCACAGAAATGCATCACACTGTATTTTTATACCAGGAAGTGAATAAGTGGTTATGATGGTTCCTTAGGAGACATCCATATGTTTCAAGCATTATACATCTTACCTTTGTGAGCAGATTGGTTGTTTTATTACACATTTTTCTGAATAAATGGTATTTCACTTAGAGTTGGCGCTCTGTGTGGTTCTATTTTAGTATTAGTACTTATAGTAGTTAATGCAAACTACTAGTACTAATACTAATAGTATCCACTATTTTGCTCAATTAACTTTTTGAAATATCAAGGGTGTATCCTTTTGAGATTAATAGAACAATTTGGAGAAATATTAATATCCTGGAGTTGAATAGGTAGAAGTTAAAAACACACATCTGCTTCTGGTTACAGTAAAGATGGTTGGGGGGGCGTGTCCTAGAACTCATGGCGGCAGGACGCACCTAGGCTGAGCTCCGGGCTTCCCCTCTCTGCAGACCGGACATCCCGTCCTCACTACCTTCCACTCTACATTGCTGCACACATCCCGGGACATACACCAGAAAGACGAATAGACGGGTAGACGAATATACGTACCGTACCGTCATGAAGAAAGGCACAGGGCGCTCCGGCTCCGTAAAAACGCAGAATAAGGGGGTGATTACACGCTTCCTGGCGACGGAGCAGCAGCAGCAGGAACGAAAACGAGGCTCACTTACACGAGCGGACGCGTTATCTGACCTTCCACAGACCTTAACGACACTCGGGATCATCGCTCACTGTCCCCGGTGGATGAATTGGTGAGAGCACTTCCTACTAGGAATGAATTAACAGCGATGTTCACTAATTTGGAACAATCCCTTAAGACAAAGATTTTGTCTCTTAGAGGGGTGGTTACACACCTGATCCAGCGGGTGGAGGAGAGTGAGCACCGCTTAGATCAACAAGCGGGGGCATTGTTAACTTTGCAAAAGCAAGTACATTCGCTGCATTATTCTCAAAGAGCCATATCCTATCGTGTGGAGGACCAAGATAACAGGGGTCGCAGGAACAACCTCCGAGTACGAGGCCTCCTGGAAACCATGATGGATATGGATCTGATTAGTACACTCAGGAAGATCTTTAATATTATACTGGGACAGGCACCTACTACCCCGCTAATAATCGATCGGGCACATAGGGCAACGCGCCCGCGGGGCCTTATCTCAGAGACACCTAGAGAAATAGAAGAATAGGTAGAAGTTGTATCTATAAATGGGCTAAGAAAATTTAATGAGACTATTACTATTAAGGACTTCATCGCAATTTACTTTAATAATGCATTAACAGTATATAAACAATCAGAAAAGGAAAATGATTGGAATCTAAAACTTTTGCTTGGTTTTCATCACTAACCACACTATATTGTTAACAGTTAATAAAACTTACCTTGTCTTACAGCCAAAGTAGTTGTATAAACCAGGAATAGAAGGATGTAGTTAAGAAAACTCTGAAAGAGAGGTGTGTTGGCATGAAAATCTTCTGACAGATATTTGCTTGTGAGTCTTATTCCACAGAGAAGTAGGGAGAGCACTTGTCCCAGAGCAATAGACAGCAGCATTTCCCTGTGAGAATACATAGGAAAATGATGGTTAACATTATGACAGTTCATACATAATTTGCAGTGCATTTATAAATCATATCAACATTAATAAATCAGATCTCATTTCTCTGTTAGGTCACAATGCAGAATGTGTGCAGACCGTGAGGTGAATCCATTAAACTTCAATACATAGTTCATACATACAGTTAGCACCCCTTTGTACTTGCATAAAATATTAGTATGTTGCTCACAATAAGCTATAACATCTGTTATACACATGAGAATAACGCCTAACCAATGCAAGTTCAAATAAAATTTCAATACCAGTGATTAGGTTACATAAGGATAGTTATATAAAAGACAGGGAAACGTAAAATATTATTTATATTTATGCAATTAATATAATAATTGTGATACTATACACAAATATATAAGGCCTCGTTCACATAGGGCGATCTGGGATGCTTATAGCAGAAATCCCAGGTGTCCTGCTTAGATGTGGCTAGGGATGCACCGATACCTTTTTTTAGTATCGGGTAAGATATTTTTTTTTCGGTATTCGTCGATACCAAATACCAATTTTAGAAGTCCCATTAAGGAAGCTGGGTGACATGTAATGACTCTCTGCCCAGCTTCCTGATTAGCCGGGAAGCCGTCTCCATGCTCTCTCATCACCAGGTAACGAGGAAGCATGGAGCCGGCTTTCTGGCCAACCAGGAAGCAGGGGGGCGAGTAATGACTTGCTGCCTGGCTTCCTGATTGGCTAGCTTCCCTACCAATCAGGAAGCCGGCCAGCGAGTCATTACACGGCGCTCAGCTTCCTGATTGGCCAGGAAGCCGGCTCCATGCTACCTCGGCACCAGGTGACGAGGAAACATGGAGCCAGCTTTCTGGTCCAATCAGGAAGCTGGGCGGTGAGTCATTACATGCTGCCCAGCTTCCTGATTGGCCGAGAAGCCAGCTCCATGCTCCCTCATCACCAACTAACGAGGAAGCATGGAGCCGCGGCTTTCCGGCCAATCAGGAAGCCGGGGGCGAGTCATTTCCCACCCCCCAGATTCCTGATTGGGCAGGAAGCCAAGTCCATGCTCCCTGGTGACGGCAGAGCATGGAGCTTGTTTCCTCGCCAATCAGGAAGCCGGTCAGTGTAATGACTCGCTGCCGGCTTCCTGATACCGAAGCTCCAGTATCGGCATCGGGAGCATTTGGGCGAGTATGAGAACTTGCCCAAATACTCAGTATCGGTGCATCCCTAGATGCAGCCACTATGTCCATTCAAGTAAATGACCAGATGACAGCGGCTGCATTCGTAAACACCAGCCATTTGTAATTGCAATGTAATTGCATATCATACGATTACATACTGCATTTATCCTGTGCCCAGCGACAGTTATCTATTCCATACCAAATGCAATCGTACCAAAATTATTTGTGTAATTATCAGATTTATATGCTCTATAGAGAGATCCTTTTTAATACTTACTTAGATGGATACATGCATAATACACAAATCTATGGTTCACCAATATCTGATTGGCTGGTATGAGTTAAAATTGCACTTTAGTAAACTTGATAAGAACGCTGACCTTTTAATATGATGGATACTAAAAGTCAAACTGTGCCCAGACTATACAAAATTAAGTATTTATATATTTTGAACAAACAGTAGAAGCACTTTACAACAACCCCTTATTCACCTCTCTAGCTATACGCATTGTGGAGAAATTTGTCTTCAAAGTTTGTAACAGAGGCACTAAAAAATGTTTTTATGTTACTTTCTGTGGAGTGCAGAATCTTGGTAGCCTGCCAGCCTTCTGATCTAAATACACAACAGATGTTCCAAAGCTGAACTGACTGAAACTTGACTTTAGAGTCTTTGTTGTGATCTTTGAGGATCTATGAAAATCATTTTTTTTCATAGTACAAGAAGCTACAGAGTTCAGGAACAGTTTGTTTTTAAACTACTTAGTTAATAATATGTAAATATTTTAATGTCCATAGTCTGGCCATAGGTGCACTTTAAAAAACTAACAAACTGAAATGGGTTTACAGCTGGTACGAGGTAAGGGTCTCACCTGGAAGCAATAAAGCAAGCAGGTTAGCAACTAACATTTTGAGAACACAAGCCCTCTTTGTGTTTGTATATTTGTGTTTTATCTATCGAGCAGAGTCATGTTTTGAAAAAAGGAATACATATTTTCTTTGGTTTATTACATTCTACCTGTAAGGGGACAATCACCATCAGCGAAAATAAAAAAAAACTAATGTTTAAAGGAGAACTATGGGGTCAGGGCTTTTCCCCATAGTTCCCCTTAGGGTAACGGGAGGACACAAACTAGCGTCCTCCCGTCACCCTAAGCTCAGTATACCGCGAGCTACAGCTCGCGGTATACTGAGACGCCGCAGCCGGAACGGATCCCGACATCGATGTCGAGATCCGCCCAGCTGCGTGAGTGACAGCTGGCTCTGCCTATCTAGAGGCAGAGCCAGCTGTACCCGCCCCCTCCCCCGTCCGTTCCGCCAGTCAGCTGGTGGATTGGAGTGGGGAGGGGGGAATCCAGCCCCTTCCCTCTCTGCCGTGACAGGATCGAGAAGTGAGTGAACACCGGTATGTGTTCGCTCACTTCCCGATCTACTGAGCCGACCTGTGACAGTCTCATTGTCACAGGTCGGCTAGAACTATGAGGTGAGTGAAAAGCACTCCCCTCATAGTTCTCCTTTTAAGTTTCAAGTTTTAACAATCAATATTTTAGGAGCTGTTTTTCTCAGGCGGCAATTCAGGACACTTCACAATCTAACTACAGACTACACTGCCACTGCAACATAGAGTTAGCTATAAAACATTTGTATCAATAATAGGAAACATCTTATTAAAAAGATACTGGTAGTAGATAACAGAACTCTGCCATATCCAACACTTCTAAGTGCCTGCAGCTCATTTGTGTGCTCTAAATCCTTCCTCCATTAGAAGTGGGTCCCTTCAAAGCTCCAGGGACATGCTAGTAACATAACGGCCAGAAGGTAGAGGTAGGGCAACAGCGCAGAGCAGTTAGACAGAAGCATCCAACATACCTGGAAGTGTTGAATGTATTTTTCTATGCTGTGTGTTTACATTTTACTGACAGTGGGAGACATACTGACAGTGGGGGAAAATCAATGAGTGTCTACAACACTCTTTAGAATTTGGTCATGCACCTGCATGCAGACGCCAGAGTGTCCAATCCAGACACTTTGTCCTCAGTGCAGCTCAGGAGATAAAATGACAGCCTCAGCTGTCACACAGACAGGTGCAGCAGCTGAAGACATAAACGGTGAGTGGGCAGAGACTGATGGGAATGCTGAGGTACTAGGTCCCCACCAGGTCTGCTCTGCTGCTGACTGATAGCAAGCAAGCATTGGGTAGATTCTATAGCCAATAGCAAGTTGGCTATTAAATAGGCCACTGTCTGCTGCAAAGCGAACCTGATGGGGAACTAGTCCCTCAGCATCCTCATCAGGCTCTGTCCCAGCTGTCATCGTCACTAGATGTTGAGGATGCTGTCAGCTGGATTTTGACTATGGGAATCTGCCCACTGTCTTCTGTCATTAAAAAGGCAGGTGGCCCTAATGGAAAAGGTTGGTGCTGGTGCATTATTTCCCTTTCCTCCTTTGACTTCCTCAATACAGTTGGTTTTTAACAAAGAGGATCCTAGCACAGGCAGGAGTGCTTAGTTTGTAAACAAGTGATTAGGTCTGGGGTTACAGGGCGGTTAAAGGTGCTTATGGTAAGGTAACCCTCTCTGTGTTGAAAGGTAACTCGCTCCATAAGCATACATTATGCATCCATGTGTTGAACAAAATGTGCTATTTTCTGTTATTGTCTACCTTTAAACAGTAAATGCTATAAAGAGTACATGACCAACTGCAAAGATACTGTATATTAGGTCGCATCTATACATAGATATGCATGTGGGACACAAAGAACTGAAGTTAGCTTTACAATAAATTATAAATGAGAGGCAGGTTTTCTAGTTTTAGTAAAGTGAGGACAGAGCACTTTTGCAGTAAATAATCTGTCAAGTTGTGACATTGCTGCTGCAGCATCAAACAGGCTCAGTGCTGGGAGGTTTTCTTTATATGCTGCTTGCTCGTGTATATTTCAGAAAGGAAGCAGTGAGAGGTATCCTTACTGCAGCATGCAGAAAAGCTCTGCTTGGGGAAGTAAAATTTATAACCACATTTCCAGAAATAGTGAAGAATGCTCTTCACCTTGCTTATTGCTGCCTGCCAAAAAGAGTAATTCCTGAAGTTTTGATTTACAGCTTCCATACTTTTAGAGGAGTAACCACTGACAGCAAAAGTAAATTATCTTGAGAGCAAAGCTATAGGCTGGGTTTATGTACACAGCCTAAAAATGAAAGATGCATCTCATTTACTACTTGTACAGCTCATCAACGTGTTTGATTTGCCCTTAGGTTTCTAGTAGACAGACAGTTTGCCAAAATGACATAGGACAAGGGTGGACAAATTAATACTGAATTCAAGAACCAGTCTGCACAATATAGGAGCCAGCAGGATTTTTTTTAGGAGCCAGCTCTCCATTGACAACTAGAGAATACCCCAACAGTTAGGCACCAGCTGTAATTTTTAAGGTACATTGGCTACCTGGCTCCTGGGATTTGTGCAGCCCTGATATAGGGATTCCAGTGTCAGAAGATACTGATTGCCAATACCTATATGATGACAGGTGTGACACTCATTAAACTCTGTGGGCAATAAATGTTTTCATATTTATTTATTTATTACAGGTATTTATATAGCGCCGATACACACATAATACAGAGTAACACTGCACTTTGGTGAATACATACTGTACTTGCAGCTCCACTCAGTTGTGAACTATAAATGTGTATTCCTAGCATGCCTCTTAAGGGCTCATTCATACAGGTCCGTTCGGCATGCAGAGACCCGGTCCCAGGAAGGACAGGTGCTGTGTGTAATTGCGTGCAAAACAGATGTACGGATGTGCAGGTTCAGCTCTGC